GATTGTTGCTATAATGAAAGAGGCAAAGGCAGAAATGGAATTCTTTTGGCAAGACCGCCATTTTCACAAAGCGGTCTTCTTAGATGTCACAAAATCCTGGGCACCTCTGCCCTAAATATTGGGTTGATGAGGGCTGGGCCCTAGACGGGAAGGCGCCCTTGGATGAGGCCCTGGCTGCATGCCTCCCCTCTGGGTTCACCCCCCTGGCATGGATCAGTGCCCCTCCCTCCCTCTTCCTCCTTCACTCTTTGACGCAGGCCTGAAGGCAGATGTAACAAAGCACCAAGGGATAGGGGTATGTGACCAAAGTCCTGTTTTCCCAATGAGTATTTCATATCAGCCAACAAGGCTACACTAGGTTGCAGCCCCAACTCTTGCTTTTTGTGTGCTACCTATTCACTTAGCCACACCACACTGCACCCAGTCACTTACCCAATTCACACCATTGCCTGGACGTAGAGGGAGCAGTGCAGTGGTGCCTGGTGTCTGTTGGAACTGGTAGGGCATAAGGCAGGAGGCCAACAGTAGGTGGAGCCAGAGTCAAGACCAGCAGAGCCAACTAATTCTAATTTTGTTCTTTTGCAAGGACAACACAGAGACTGAGGAGGAGGAAAATGACAACCAGAGCCACCCTCTGGACTGATTGTATATAAGAAGAGAGACAGGCAAGGGCTGGATGAGGGCAGACTGAGATTACTACGGAGCAGTGTCCCATCCCTCCTAGGGAACCAGCCTTCCCTGGGACGGTGAGCAGAAATTGCTGCTCCATTCTTCTTTTTCCTGAAACCGTTTATTCTCTTGTTGAGGAAGAAGGAATCAGGAATGACAGCAGGGAAGAAGAGTTGCAACTCAGGGTGGGGTGAGGTTGGACATGGTGCTCCCTTTAGGGTTTGGCTGCTACCTGGCAACATTGACCCCTGATGTTGACCCTGGCATAAAGGAGAACAATGGGTTTGGAAGCCTACTCCCCAAGGGGAGGAAGTCTCTAAGGACATGGGAGAATGGCTGGAGATGATTGGTAGATCCAATCTTTCTGAGGTCCATTGTGATAATGCCTCAGGCGATACTGTCATGGGATGCCCTTTCCATTATCTCCAGGAAACTTTGCTTCATTAATTTGTCAAAGAATGTCCCTTTTTTAGGTGGACACCCAGCTGCACAAGGCACTGAGCACTGAACCAGCAAGTGGTTGGCCGGAATCCCTCACTCCCAAGTCATCTTTTTAAAGGTAGTGTGACCAACTGGAGACAGAGTCAGTCTCCTCTCTTCTCATACACTCCTCTCATACACTGATCTGGAGAAGAAGAAGTGAGCCCTTCTGTGGTTGTAAGTATTTTAATCCTGGCATTGAACCATTGCAAAACTTGGAGGAAGAGCTTGGTCTGTCAAGTTGGCATGTCTGAAAGTTTTGAAAAGTCTTCATTCCAGTACAGCAAAAAATGCTGACAATAAACTCCAAGGTGATGCTTGCAAAACAAAACAAGAAAACACACACACACACACACACACACACACACACACCACCCTCCTCCTTTGACTAGATGCATCAGCTGCCCACCTTATGCTGAAGACTAGAAAACCTCCAGAAACCTCTTGCAAGAATCGGTGGTGAATTCAGGAGTGTATAGCCGAACAGAGACGCTCACCATAAACCATATGCTTTAAAAGTACAATAAAATATATAACCTTTTGAGTTGGTCTGTGCTTTCTCCTTGGTTTTGGAATATTACATACTATTAAAATTAAACTTCCTGCATCAGTAAACAAGAGACTGTTTTGAATTTGCAGTACTGGCTGAAGCAATGATGAGGAACCTGTGGCCCTCCAGATGTTGTTGGACTTCAGCTCCCATCAGCCTCAGCCAGCATGGCCAGTGTTCATGGTTGATGGGTGATAGTCCAGCAAGATCTGGAGGACCATAGACTCCCCATCTTGGGGCTAAAACAACGTAATGTGTTTTACCGTCACATTGATATGAGTGCTTATCAATTTGCGGTAATCATAAATCACTCTTGTTTTGGACTGCCTTAACCAACACATTTCCTTCAGCCCACATTCAGTGGCCAAATACTTGAGTTAGTTACATATGTTCCTTAAGAATTTGCCCTGCTTCTCATGAGGTTGTCAATCCATGGGGCCTACCACTTCAGACTGCAACAATATTATCCACATAGAAAACCAGAGAATGTTTTAGATCAAGTGTGGCAAAACTTTTGGCCCTCCAGATGTTGCTGAACTACAACTCCCATCACCTGTGGTTATTGGCGATGCTTGTTGAGGCTGATGGGTGTTGTAGTGTAGCAACACCTGGAGGGCTGAAGGTCCCTCACATCTGTTTCAGACCACCCTTTATTTGGTTCCATGAGACTTCCTCCATTTCACCAGGACATCGTTCCACATCACGTCTACATGTGTTATGCTCAGAAGAAACAGGCAAAGATTGTTTATAGGCTGTATATTCATCTGTATTGTGTACATGCATCAAACATGCATTTTCCAGCCACAAACATTACATACAACCTGAATAAGATCTGCAGACTAACTGAAGCAACTGATGAAATAAAAGAAGAACTTAGACTACAAGCTACTTACCTCTCTCCCCCACCAAAATTAGCTTCCACTAATGAAGAAAAGCCCAGACTACACAGTTATTCTGAATATGTTGGGAGTGGCAATATTTTAGACCTGATCTGAACTACCAAATGAGGTATTTGTTTCAGGGTGTATTTACGTCCCCAATGTATCTATGTCCCTCCCTGCTCTGTCATGCCTCCTCCCTCCCCGTGATCAGTGTTTTTAAATGCTCACTTTCCATGTGAAAGAAGTCACGGTCCAATTTGCATAGTCCCAGCAATATTTTAGGCATTTAGTGCTACAACCTTGGTGGGCTGACTTACGATTCTATCTGCATTGCTAAGAAGTTAGCAAGATGTATTAAAGTGTGTGGTGTGCACAGCATTAGACAATGACAGTTTTGGGGTATAATTGCTTTAATGTGGGCAATTAAGACTAAGTGCATGCGGTTTTACTGTCTGCCCTACATTCCTCTGAATGATTGCAATGATCGATACACATGATTTGTAAGTCGCTTCCTATTGATCGAATGGTAAAATGTTTGACCTTCCTCTGAGGAAGTAATTTGCTAAATTATGACGCTGTGTAAAGTCTTTCTCCGTTCAGAGGTGAGGGGTAATGGCTCATAGGACCAGGACAGGGAGAGCAGCATGTATGCATGTGAGAAACTTTTTTGCCTTTTGCCTGAAAGTAGATCTATGGCTGTACAGACATTAGTGGCTTAAAACACAGTGAGGTCATTCCCAGCCCCATCATGTTTTAAGTTGCACTTGCACTTGTTGTGTACACCTAATGACAGGGTGTCTTCACTTCATTTGTCCTCCCGTGCCTGAAATCCCCAGCAAAAAAACGTGTTCAATGAAGCTGCAATCTACAAATGTGCTGTCTCCTGAGCATGCTCAATGGCCGTCTCAAATGTACACACCTCAGCTTAACCACAGCTTACATTTTCAAATCGGATGGAAGCTGGTTTGAGGGGAAACACATCAAGCGGCAGCATTTCTCAAGAAACTACAGGATACATGTCAATTACAGCTAACTTCATGTGTAGCGGGCTTCAAATAGCAGTGGTGGGAGCGGCCTGGAGTTAGAGTGAATGGTAATGCACACACAGCTTATGTGTGGTGGTTCTGCTGCCAGTCCATTAACCTTTTCGAAGTTGGTGGCTGGCCATTTGATGCAGCAACACTCAGTTTGAACTTGTACACCTCGTTTTTCTTCTTTGCATTCAATTAAAAGAGGTTTGCTCATCTCATTTATGCTCAATTCTGCATCTGATGAATGCATCGGAAAGGCAATACTTGATGGAAATTTGTTGCTGTCAGCACCCATCCCCTGTACAGCAACCTCCCCACAGCTTGTTTTGGACTACATGTCCCACCAGCCCTTGTCAGCACAGCTGTGATGGTGGGGCTGCTGGGGTTCATAGTCCAAAACATCTAGAGAACACTATCTTGCAGAAGGCTTCCTTATACATAAAGCTTCTCAAAGCCAAGCTCGTGACTGGGCTTGGAAAACCAAGCTATTTACCTCCCACCACCCTAAAAAATAGGAAAATAGCTTGGTTTATAGTGAACTCAGTACTGAGTCAAGTCTCCCCTTTAGTGCTCCTGGTGATATCATCAGGGGGGAAAACCCATGGAAGTTAAGAAAATATGGCTGCCGCCATGGTTCCATAAGAAAAACCATTTTTTTTCATACAATGTCCTTGAAAGAGGCAGGACGTCATCACATCTTGCCATTTCCAGGGACATTTGCAGTCCTGTTTACACCCCAAGTGGCAACAACCATGCTTCTTAGCCACTCCAAGGAGCTAGTCCCTGTTAAGGAAACGGGAAGAAAGATTTTAAATCCTCAGGCCAACTCTTAAGTGCTTATTTTTCATTATATCTGTGGCTTGTTGGAGAAACCATCAGTACATTAACTGTTGAAATGGGACAGAATGGATCCCTTTGCATCCAAAATAAGAAATGGACACAGACCAGGCTTCGAGTTGTCCATCCATCTCTAATAATTACCAGCTGCTGAGATCTGCATTTCCAAAACAGGAAATATGAAATTAGGTGACATCATGGATTTCTTATCCTCTAATACAGGCATGTCCAACTCCCAAGAGACTGTGATCTACTCCCAGAATTAAAAAAACTGGCAGTGATCTATCCATTGTTATTGGAGGGAGGAGGAGCATGCATGTTTTTTTTTAGCTCCCCCCCCCCCAGGGATCTACCGGTAGATCTCCTGGTTGGACATCCCTGCTCTAATATTTAACGCTTGAGCAATTCAGCTGATTATTTGAGTATTCTCTGTGTCATCACTTATGACACTTTTCTTAGAGGGGGAATAATTTAAGATTCCAAAATGGCAGGATGCTGATGACAGCGAGTAAAGAGAGAGATGGAAAGAAAAGAGTGTTCTCTTTGGGCAAAAAAAAAACAAAACTACAAAATTAACAATCAAGTTGTTCTGCATTAGCTTTTACAAAGTTAAAAACTTATAATCCACCAGTTTCTTTGTTGCTATTCACTTTGTCTTTTACCAGCTTGTTAACTGCATCACTTTGATGAATATACACATGCATGAATACATATATAAATGGCTATCACTCATTTGCAAGGCTTTGAAACATTGCTGAAAGTTTAAATGACGGGTAGCATTTATTCATGTTGCAGTATGCTGCTCAAAGTTTTGATACGGGATTAAAAATAATAATAAGAATGACATTTGGAGTTAAAAGACGACATCTTGATTAAAGCCAGAACAAATTGCTTGGCATAGGTTCAAGACTCTTTTTTTGCATGCCCTTCAAGTCTTTGATGCTCCCCTGTTGTCTCCCAGGCTTGCAGTGGGAGGAGTCAAATCCTGTGGCAATGATGTAATTTCATAGAATCATAGAATCGGAAGGGGCTCCAAGGGCCATCTAGTCCAACCCTCTGCAACATACTTCTGCAAGTCAAGTGGGATTGGGGAGAAATTCAGTTTGCATTCAAAGGGAAACCTGGCTAATTTGCACCAATTGAAACACTTCTTTGAAGTTTGGACAACTCCGAATTTTGAAGTGCAGTTTTACAGTAATGTAAAGTGTACAAAAATGCCTGTACTAGGGTAAAGGATGCAGAAAAATGCATATACTAGTGAACATAAGATACAAAATGCATTATTTTAGGGAAAACAGCTTGCAAAAATGTGCATATTGTGATAAATCTACCCTAAAATGCTGATGAATTTTCACGAAGACTTTGAAATAGCCACCCCAAATTGATGTTGTGATGTAGAGAACTGAATTTAAGATAGGGAAAAAAATAGAAACTGAGCAAAACCAAAGTCAACAGGTTCACCTATTCCTATCCCTCAGCCAGGCAGCTGTGTTTTCAGGATCCACATGACTCAGTCATCAAAACGCTAACCCATATTCCACCTCGCCCAATTTAATTCAGGTTGACTCTTTCTTTCTGCCAATAACCCAGCCTCAATTCCAGCACTGATGAGACCCCTATCTGCCTAGCAAGACACATTCTGTACCTTCAGACTATGCCCTGAGAATGATGCAGTCCTTTTAAAACCGACATTCAACTACACTAGCACTTGGCACCAACTGCACTATACATTTGAAACACGCCCCTTGAAACTGTCAGGGCTTCCCCAAAGATTCCTGAGAAATGAAGTCGGTTGAGAGAGGTGAGAGTTGTTTGGAGACCCGCATTCCCATTCACAGAGCTACAATTCTCAGAGTTCCATGGGAAGTGATTGCTAAACCATTCTGAGAATTGTAGCTCTGCCAGGGGAATGGAAGTCTCCTAACAACTCTTAGCACTCTTAACAAACTACAGCTCTCAGGATTCTTTGCGGGAAGCCAAGAGTGCTTAAAGTAGCATGATACTTCTTTAAACGTATAGTGCAGATGAAGCCTATGTGTATGTGGGGGTGATCACTGCCCATGCATCTGAAGGAGACTCATGCCTATAACAAGTCTTGCCACAATAAATCTGTTGGGTTTTCACACATGCCTATTTTGTGTTTGCTGTTGCCGCTCTTGCTGCTGCTGCAACACTTGTGAAGGATACACAGCTGCCACCCAAAATGGCAGCCCTACACTGTCTCCTCCTCTCCTGTTCCCTGCAGTGTGTGCTATCCACGCAGTGACATCACTGCTTGGCAACACTCTTTGCCAGTGCAAAGGGCAGCCAATGAAGTTGACTGAGGGCAGGGAAACTTGGGATGTGACAACATCGTGAGTCTGGGGAAGTGAGGAGGAGAAAGGGATGTGGGTCTGCTGCTTCCAGCAGTAGCCACGAGACCCCCATAATGTCAAGCTCTGGTCTGACACAACTGCTTTTTTAAAAAGCCTGCTAACAGTCAACTCAATAATGACCGACACATATCACCCGGAGATATGTCATTTCATCTCTGCGGGTGACATCTCAGTTGATCAAACAGTTGTCAAGTTGTTCACCGTTTTGATGGCTATTAAACATCCCTTCCACAGCTAAATGAGTACACTTGCTAGCAACCCTCCAGCTATTCATAAAGAGATATTATGTTGGTGAAACAAGACCTGGCTGAACATTGCCTGCTCCTGAGGGCTAAAAGGGACTTAAAAGAAAACCCTTCCATAATATTTTGCAAGGGATTCCCCCACTCTCTTTCTCCCCCTGCTCACTCCCCACATACAGACTTTGAGCCCAAAGGCAAAATAACTTTGCCATTATCTCCCTTGGAACATGCACTAACTCACCACTATTTCTGCAGGGCTGAGCTGTTCGTGTCAGTGGAGTCGTCCGGGTGAGCTGGAGAATATCAGAGAGGGTCGCCACTCCTGTTTGCCTGCAACAGAGCCATGTCAAAAGCTTCTCAGTAATCAACAGAGCTTAAAGAAAGTCTCCGATTAGGCTTTCCTTTCATCTTTCTCTCTCCCCTTCCCCTCCCCACTGGTGTTAGCAATCAGCCCTCCAACTCTTCCGCTCTCTTAACAAATTTTGATTTATCTTTTAATCAGGGGATAGGCTGTGCCATTATTATTTTTTTACTGCAGCAGAAGTTATTCTTGGATGCAAGAGTTTCAGTATTGCCACAGTGGTCGATTAGCCCAGGAGTGAGTGCTACAGAAGGGATTGCTTCTGATCGCGTGTAAAATAATGCCACACCAAAACTTGTCCTCCTATTTCTCAGCAGTTTCCTTCCCCCACAAAAGAGCTTTATATAATTTGCCTCATTTGTAGGGCATTGGAAATTGATTCAGAATGAGATTGAGCATCCCTTCTCATTGCAAGGTGGTGAAGATTGGTGCCTGTGTTTCTCTTTCCATTGAACATTTCTCCAGCACTAGGCCCTCTCCCCATCTGCCCATGCTTCCTGATCAGAAGAAGCCCCTTGGGAGACACCACCTCCCCTGCGATTTAATCAAAGTTCAGAAAACTGGAAAGTTATCTACCCAATGCCTGTGACTGGTAAGCCCACTTATTTTGTTTTTAAGGAAAGTCCTCCCTTTTACCTTAAAAACAAAATCTTTCCACTCTTGCTTCTGGAAGAGAAAAAAGAGTTCACATGCATGCACAATCCCATGCAGAAGCCAAGGAACAGCTATCAACATCATGGTGGGCAGCTTCTTTGCCTTTCTGTGCACTTTCTGAGTGCCAAAGCATTCCCCCCCACAAATATCAAGCAAAGAAATCTGTGCTCATCCAGCTCAGCCCTAAAATCCATGATCACTGAAAAATTAAACTTCTGTCCAATGCCATTCTAGTTCAGACTCAGATCTTTTGGCAAAGCTGTGTTTGGAAACCTACAAGACCCACTCCAGAAGAATGCCCAGGGCATCTCCGCACATTCCAAAGAGCCAGTAGTGACTACAGTGTTGGACATAGAGTAATCCAGGTTCAAATTCCTGCTCAGCCATGATGCTCACTAAGCAACGTTGGGCCAGTCCACAGAAAAGTCCAGAGTTCTCATGATAAAAGGGCTCAATAACAAGAGGTTATGGAACAGTTATTTATCTGTCTACCACCTTCCACAGACATGTATCAAGGTGATGTACAAAATCCAATAAAAGTGGCTACCCCCCCCCCCCGTTAAAAACAACCCACCCATCGCACCCACATCATCAGTTAAAATTTTTAAAAATACAAAAGAGACACCCATGTTAGAGATCTATCCATACAGCTTGTAAAACAAAACAAAATGCTTTCAGTTGTTTCCGGAAGTTAAAGATAGTAGACAACTGTTATATCTCAAGAGAAATGCAGTTCCACAGAACAGGGGCAGTCACACTAAAAGCCCTGCTCTGAGTTCCTGTGGAGTCTGTTTCTGATGTATTTGGAACTTGATGGAGAAGTGCTCCCACAGACCACAGTGGCCTACCTGGTATATATGTCGCCTGGGCCTGAGCTGCATAAGGTATTTTATGTTAGTACCAGTCACCATACCCTCCAACATTTCTCCAATGAAAATGGGGATATCCTAAGGAAAACGGAGACATTCCAGGATCAAATCAGAAACCGGGACGGCTTCTCTAAATTGGGGACATCCTTGGAAAACAGGGACACTTGGAGGGTCTGCAGTTACATGCATGATCATGTAGCCATCCCCACTGACATAATGAAGGCTTTATTAGTAAAAATATATGCAATGAATTGGGTTGAAAAGACAACAGGGAATCAGCACAGGCTCAGATACATTGGTGTAATGTGCTCCTGGAGATTCACACCTGTAAGGAGAAGAATTGTGTCCTTAGAAGATTCCAAATGGTCTTGAAAGGTGACCATGTGTAGCACGCATTGCAACAAGTCAGCATGAGGCAGAGAAAGCACAAATTACCGTAGTGCTGTGTGTCCCTTGGTCACTGCAAAAGTAAGGTAAGCTCAACAGAAACGCTGCACCCCACCCAAGTGAATCTTCATCAACATTTTCTCTCTTATTTCCCAATGTTTAAATCAGTTTCTTTTCTCATTAACTGATGGAGAATGGTTAAAAAAAATAATAAAATGCAGGATGATTTTTGTTTTTGTTTTTTTGGTACAGCACTAGTATGAATGGCAGTTGCAAGGTCATCATGACAGCTAATAATTTTCCAATCTCTGACACTAGCTTCCTGTTTGGCTTTGAGACATCTCCTTAATCCTTCTTTATCACAGTTGTCCTGATAACAACTTTCTTGCCTCTTGAGAGTGCTTTGAAGATTTATTGGGTACTGGTCTGATAGTGCTTTGAAGGCAAGAGCTCTATACACAAACTCTGGGGCTGGATCTGTAATCTGAAGGAACGCTTCTAAAAGGAAAACCTATTTTCCCCAGCAATGCAACTGGTAAAAAAAATATCAACAAATATATTAACATTCAAATGCTGCTTTGTTCTATTTCCATTAAACTTAAAGCTCAGCGCAATAGCTGAATTCACACCATATAATTAAAAGGTGGTGCAGTGGTCTAAACCACTGAGCCTGGGGCTTGCTGATCAGAAGGTCAGTGGTTTGAATCCCCGCGATGGGGTGAACTCTCATTGCTCGGTCCCAGCTCCTGCCAATCTAGCAGTTTGAAAGCACACCAGTGCAAGTAGATAAATAGGTAACACTGTGGCCAGAAGGTAAATGACATTTCCGTGTGCTGCTCTGGTTTCACCAGAAGCGGCTTAGTCATGCTGGCCACATGACCCAGAAAAACTGTCTGCAGGCAAACTTCCGTTCCCTTGGCCAGTAAAGCGAGATGAGCGCCACAACCCCAGAGTCGTTCGCAACTGGACTTAACTGTCAGGGGTCCCTTTACCTTTTATTCAAGCACAATGATATCACTTTGAACAATCATGGCTTTCCCCAAAGAATTCTGGGAGCTGTAGTTTGTTAAGGGTGTTGACAGCTGTTAGGGGACCCCTATATCCCTCCCAGAGCTATAGTTCCCTGGGAAGTGGGATTGAATGTCAAACTACTCCTAAGAACTGTAGCTCTAGAAGGGAAATATGGGGTCTCCTAAGAATCTTCAGCAACTACAGCTCCCAGAATTCCTTGGTGATAGGAATGCAGCCTTAATAACTGAGAACCTTAGGACCAGTTTTAGAATGTATGCAAGTAATGACTGCAGTGTGGGGGGAACTTGAAGGTGATTCATCATAGATCAAAACATCATAGGGAGCACTCTTGTATCTTCTCATATCACCTCAAGTACCAGTCATCAAGGATTGTGAAATCAAGTGATCCAGGTGTACTTGTTAACTGATCCTTGATAAGTCTCCAGTACACGTTTGAAAAGTACTGTGTGCTTGGGTTGGCATAAAATCAGTGATTACTTTAGTAGGGCTCCCCCACCTCCAGCAATGAAACTGTTTGACAGGAGATTCAGGACAGACAAGCACTTCCTCTTACATCATTTAACTGATTTGTGGAACTTATTTCCACAACATGTGATAGCCTTTAGTTCAGACCAGGGTTGGGGAACCTGTACTTCTCCAGAGGTAACTGGACTATCAGCCACAGCTACCATGTGGGTGATGGGAGTTGTAGTTCAACAACCCTGGCTTAAATGACTTTAAGGAAGACAGTTAAATTCATGAAAGCCAACTGATGACTACAAGTCATGATGGTACTATGCAACCACCACAGTCACCATCCCACTGCAACATTTCTGTGAGCAAGGCCTAGTGTCCAGGCTGATTGCACATTCAGCCTCAATTATGAAGTAGTGATGAGAGGATTTCCTTCATTTTATTATTCTGTTCTTCCTCTGGTTCATTATGAGCTATCTTCCACTCTTCCTGAATTCCAGTTTAACCAGGAGAATATGTAAAACCAGTTTAAGAGTTGCTTCAGTTAAACTCTTGCATCTTTTCTCTCTGCATCTCTGCCGGGTACCTTGTCAGCTCTGTATGCTTATATTTGGACATCGTTGAACTCTAACTACTGTTTTGACAACAGAAGAAGATCCAAAGAAAGGTGGTTTTAAAACCTGTATACATAGACATCAGCACTGACGTTGAAATTACATGCTATATTCTTAGGTGTTATTTACTTCCCTTTTGGGAAAACTCCATGCAAAACTTCTTTCATGTTCCTGAAATAAAAGCTTCTTAACTCTATACTTAACCTGTCCAAAATGGAATGGTGACTTCTACAAAGGCCGGGAAAGGTTCTAATCTATAATTTGCAGGAAATAAGGCTGGTTCCGTGTTGTGCTTTGCAAGAAACTTCATTACTCCACTGCATTCAGAAGCTGCCCTTTATGTCAGAAATACTTGTGTTGGAACATAAATAAATCTGATCTACATTAATTTTTTTTTTTAAAAAAGGTCTTCCATGGTATATGAAAAAGATCTTTCCTACCTTCCTCTTCTACAGTGCCTGAAATATTGAAGAGTAATTGGTAACCAAGACTGCAATCCTAATGCCTACTTAGTTGAGAGTAAGTGTCATTAAACTCAAAGGGGCTTACTTCTGAGTAAACACTTGTAGGACTGCCTGATTAAGCTGGTTCCCAAATGTGATGTTCACTTGCAGTGGTGGCTAGTGTCCACTGGGACTGGTGGAAAGGAAGGCAAAGAAGTCCACAGTATATGCAGCCTGAGCCATTCATGGGCGGAGCCAACTAATTTTAGCTTTGTCCCTATCCTTCTCCTTGCTGAGGTCTACAAGAGCAACACTGAGATTGATGAGGAAGCTAACAGCCAGTGCCATTGCCTGAACTGGATGTAAGTAAGAAGGAAGTCAGGTGGGGGCTGGCTGGGAGCAGACTGTGGCTGCTGGGGATGTAGAGCTCCATTTGCCTTTATGGACCAAGTTCCAGCTTATATTTACCTATTGTACTTTATATGATGGCTGTCTACTGAATACTTTATCTTGGAAA